AGGGAAACAGTATAGGGACCCAGGCCCAGCGTCACTTGAGATCACTGGTTATAAACAAAAGCTTTGGAGGAGATCAAAGTGGATTTAAATGTGACTGAACTGTTTATGGACTCCCTGAACCTCAGTCTCTTCACCTGTCAAATGGAGTCCTCAGAGAGCCACAGGGATGAAACGACATACAGCCTTGCTCTCAAAGTGTGACCCATGAACCAGCAATCACAACATCAGGGAGCTTGTTAGAAATGCAGACTCTCAAGCCTTTCCTAAACTACTGAATCAGAATACGCATTTCGAGAAACCCCTCAAGGGATTCCATGTACATTGAGTTATGAGAAGCACCTGCAAAAAGCATAAAGGACTTGCCGCTGTATCTTTCATGCAGTGAATGATTGATGAATGAAGATTCCAAGTGAAGGGAGGAAGGACAGAGCAAGGGTTCTCAATGGGGTGATTCTGCCCCCAGGAGACACTGGGCAATGTCTGGAGACATCTCTGGTGGTCATAACCGGGAATGTTACCTGCCCTGTCTGGTGGAATGGACCAGGGGTGTGACTAACCATCCTAGGGTGCACAGGCTGGCCCCTGACCACAAAGGCTATGTGACCCAGGGTGTCCATAGCGCTGGTTAAGAAACTCCACTCAGAGAAGCAGTAGCTGTGGGTTAAAGAACTGGAATAGAGCAGAGACCCAACAGGTGAGATCTGGCTCACCCTGGTGAAGCCCCACCTGTCGGACTTTGAGAGGTTGGAGGAAGTGGAGCTGCTTCTCTGGCCAGACTCTCTTGTTTTTATCAAAACTCCATCCTGGATCAGACAAAGATCTGAGGCTCTACAAATCTACGTGAAAGGATAAACTGTAGGTGTTTCCTTTATAAAAAACATTGGTTGGAAGAAAAAATCATCTGAGAATAAATTATGCGTAAGGCCAGTCCCCCACCCAACACCACAGATTCTGGATAATCTCATGCTACCTCTGTCTTGTATAGCTCTTCGCAGAGCCCGAAATTTTACATTTGGGAAATAAATCTACTTGTATTCTGCACTCTCAACAAATTCTTCTAACCTATATATATACATATATATATATATATAGAGAGAGAGAGAGAGAGTGCAGAATACAAGTAGATTTATTTCCCAAATGTAAAATTTCGGGCTCTGCGAAGAGCTATACAAGAGAATCCTCTCTCCACTTCTGGATGAGGCAATAAAGATTGCACTCTTAAACTCAAATTTTCCCTTTCTGACTGATGAAAACACCCTGCAGGAGAGAAGTAATAAGCATATTAATTAGAATTTCTCAAGAGCAGAAAGATAAGAGAAATTTACGTCATCATTTTACTTCCAGTGAATTGAATTTAATCCTCACTTTCAAATAGATCTCTATCTCCTTATTTGGCTGGGAAACTCATATGGCATGAATGCAGAATAGTGGACATTTTGTTAGTCCTCTTCCCTTAGTCGCAGTCATTCCAGGAGCAGGGATGAGGGCGCTGGTGTTCACTGGGTGGTTGTCCCCATAGACTGACACTATAATTTTTACCTTTTCTGTCATTGATATAAGAGATTTTCTTTAAAGGTTTTTGCCATAGGGCACATGAGCTTGCCAGAGAGACAGAGACAGAAGGAAAGTGAGAAATCATCCCCACCTCCACCCCCAGGTGTGGAGGCCACACTCTTCTCCTTCATCCTCCTATCAGGATTTTGGGCACACAGGCACAGGCATCCGGTGTGATTTTCTGGCTGCTGGGTCCTAGACTTGACTGTTGTCAGCCATGAATCCAGGGAATCCAGCTCCTGAACCACCACGCCATCTCCTGGCCCCAATAAGTGATTTATTTTTACAGTAAAAACAAATATATATATATATTTACATCTGAACAGCCTGCTTGGATATACAAAATACCTCCAAGTGAATTTTCTTATTTGACAATCACCGTAACCTTTCAGGTAGGGAAAACAGATATTATTATCCCTCCTTTGCAAATTAGACAGCTGAGAGTCAAGGGACCGGCAGATGGCATAATGGGTACATTGCTGGACTCTCACATGGTCAACTGCAGTTTCAGTCCCAGACCTGATGGCTTGAAACTCACACCAGGCATGTGTGCGTGCGTGCCCAATGCCTGGTGTGATTTTCAAGTCATCGGGTCCAGGACTCAGACTGTGGTTAGCCATGTGGGAGCCCAGTGACGTAACCGCAACACCATCTGCTGGCCCCTTTCTTTCTTTCTTTTCAAAAATTTTATTTTCAAAAAGCATATGCACTCACCAGTGCACGTGCATGCGTGCCCAAGATCCTGAGATGAGAATGGAGGAGAAGGGATTGAAGAGTGGCCATCCCCCCCCCTCCGAGGTTGGATGTGATTTTTCACTTTCTACCTCTCTGTCTCTCTCTGTCTCCCCAGCATGCACATATGCCCTATAGCAAAAATCTTTTTTAAAAAAAGAAAAAGAAAGAAGAAAGAAAGAAGAAAGAAAGAAAGAAAGAAAGAAAGAAAGAAAGAAAGAAAGAAAGAAAGAAAGAAAAAGAAAGAGGAGAAACCTGTGAGTCAGAAGAGCAAGTGATTTTCCCTTGTTCCTGACAGAACCAGGACTAGAATACAGGCCCCTGACAGACCAGCATCCTTTCCCCTCTACCACCCTTTGGTGCCATTTCTCAATCTTCACTCATTCGTTGAACAGACATTTCCTAAACATCTACTGAGTGTCAGAACAGGTTAGACAAAAAGTAAATGATATGATAATGTTCATGTAAGGTGTCGGGAAAAGCCAAATCTGTAGAGATGAAAATAGACTAGCAGTTGCCCAGGGCTAGGAGTTAGGTGCAGCAGAGGTGGGAGGAATGAGTGACTGCCAAAAATACAAGGTTTCTTTTTCTTTCTTTCTTCTTCTTCTTTTTTTTTTTTTTTTAAGTTTTTACCTTAGGATACGTGCACTTATCAGAGAGATAGAGACAGAGACAGTGAGAGGGGAAAGTGAGAAATCACCCGGCAGAGGGGATAGCCCTGCTGAAATCCCTTCTCTATTCTCCTCCTAGGATCTTGGGTGCACACGCACACATGCCTGGTGTGATTTTCAAGCCATGAGGTCCAGGACTCAGGCTGCGGTTAGCTATGTGGGAGCCCAGTGATGTAACCGCAACACCTTCTGCTGGCCCCTTT